GTGCCGCTGGATGATGTCGCATTTTCGCGACTGGATTGACGATAAGGGGGGTGCTTCCCAGTGTAGTTATAGGGAGGTGCCGCTGGATGATGTCGCATTTTCGCGACTGGATTGACGATAATGGGTTGTATTTTCTATAGAGTTATTTGGATGGGGTTGCAATTTTTCAGAATTTTGGAGGTAAGAAAATTCTGATAAGTACATGGAGGGATTTAAAAATGGATAAATTCGCTGCTACCAAAGCAGTGGCCCATAACTCACATTAACTGCGATGCTTCATTAACTCAAATATGAGTGAGTTTTAAAAGACTGTTCAAGTAGGATGTGGATGTGATAAAGATTCCACCTAGGATTATGCTCTGTCTCCTTGCATAAGCACTGTTTCCTTACGGGTGTTCGTGAATGTTTTCGATATACAAAGGCCAGTACACCCCACCCCACCCCCCCTCCCAACCCCTCAACGGCCATAAAGGAAAAAAGATGATGAAAGTGCTTAGGGTTTCCGGTTAAGATCACCCAAAACGTGACGCGAGAAATACTTTTGGAGGATTTGATCCAGTGTGCTTAACGTTAATTACAGTCGAACAATAGACAAACGTGCAGTAAGACCTGTACAAAGCTCGAAACGCAGCGAAATAAATTCGTGTTATGGCCCTATCATCTTTTTGCAGAAGTATTCTCTGACATCCTGATAAGCAAAACGCTAGTGATAAGACTTAACTTGTCGATTTGAAGATGCGGTAACCAGTTTACGAGCAGGGGGGAATTAAGCTTTACCGCTCCGAGCTTCAGCCATAAAAAGTGGCAAAGGTAAGAAGCCTACCTGGATCCATTTCGGTGTCATGCTCTAATCCTTCAAGCTGTGTGCTAGGACTAGGACTGCAGAGTCCTGGGGACGAGAGAGGAGTGATGGTAGACGCCAGAGTCAGCGGTCCCATGTCTGGATCTACAAGATACAACACAATAACTTGTAACCACGCCTTGATAGAGACCACGGCTTCGTGACCACGCCTGCACGAAGTAAAAGGTTTTGTGACCTCGTCGGCACGTGGGTCATGGCAGAGCATGGCTCTATTTAACCCTATCCAGTTCCAGGATGGGATGCTATTTCAAAGCTGTTTAAGCCGACAGAGCTGAATAACGAAATGTTACATGAAAGTTGCGCGGTCAACAACGCGGGCTCAAGTGTGCAAAGTTCAAAATTGAGCGAAAATGATAAAGGCTGACATTTAAAACCGTGGCATTTCATTGTCGTCGAAGGTATTTTCCTATTTCCAAATTTTTATGACAAAATTAATTTTCGAAAATATTTAGGGGGTGTACAAAGTTTTTTGCAGGTTGTTCTGTAAAAGAAAAGCGGCAAGGAAAACAACGCCTCGAAGCAAAAGAATAGAAAAACAACCATGCAAACGACTCAAAATCCGTTTTCCGCGCCAAAATTTAGCGTGCATACGTTAATCAGCTCTGTCATACGAGCCCACACTGCCGATTGTGTAATAAGCAGCTGTGCCGTAGAACGAAACCCAAACACGAGAGCATGCTCGCAGGCTCAACAGACGGCGATAACGGGTCTTATTACACGACTCAGGCAGTCAGGGGGCCAATAACTAAAACCAACCAATCAAAATGCTCTATTACCGGTCCAATATTCTATAAGTATTGGACCGGGCACTGTCCCGAATGGTC